GTGCTGACATCAGCAGTAGTGAAAACTGATGGGTGATCACCAGGAAATTCCAGGGCTGTAGGCTAGCCTGGGAAAAAGCAAGGTCAAAATACTTCCTGAAGGTTGCCAAGAAAACATGTGACATTCCATAAAGTCACTTTGAGTCATGGTTAACTTAATAGAGTTTTAACCTTTGCTTGCCTTGATTGAATTGGACTCCACCTCTTTGTCCAGTTTCATCTGCCTAGGCATAATTATTCTCCAGGGACTGAATTTTCATGCCACTAAGCTGCCCTTATGACCTCTAATAAAATATAGATGAATTATATGTCTAGCACATTGATTTCAATGACAATATAATCTGAAGTATTTTAACAATCCCATTAGAAGGAGAGTTACATGGGCATTAAGGTCCATGGTGTGCAATGTACCAGGGGACAGTGGAAACAGAGGAATGAGAAGGAAGTCAAAGTGAGGACAAAAAAAGACTATAGGCATTTCAGGTACATATGCCTTGGTTTAATTACAGTACAGATAGTCCTCAACTTACAACTGAATCTAAAATTTCTAAGCAGGACCATTGTTAAGTGAGTTTTGGTCCATTTTATGAACTTTCTTGCCACAGCTGTTAAGTGAATGACTGCAGTTGTTAAGTTAGTAACACAGTTTCTAGAGCCCTGGTGGCACAGTGGTTAAGGTCCAGTATTGTAGTCAAACTCTGCCCACAGCCTAGAATTTGATCCTGACGGGACTCAAGGTTGACTTAGCCTTCCATCCTTTCGAGGACAGTAAAATGAGGACTCAGATTGTTGGGGGCAACGTGCTGAGATTATAAACAGCCCAGAGAGTGCTGTAAAGTGCTATTGGGTGGTATATAAGTCTAAGTGCCATTGCTATTCCCCACTGTCTTCACTTGTCAGAACATCACAAAAGCTGATCACATGAACCCCAGGACACTGCAGCCTTCATAAATACATGTCAGTTGTCAAGCATCCGAATTTTGACAACATGACCATGAGGATGTTGCAATGGCCATAAGTGTGAAAAACGGTCATTAGTCACTTTTCTCAGTGCTGTTGTAACTTTGAACGGTCACTAAATGAATGCTTGTAAGTCGAGGACTCCCTGTAATGAATGTCATGTAAAATTGAATCTATTTTGCTGATTATGTCTACTGTATTATTAACAGAAAAACAGAACGGAAGAACAGAGTTGGGAGGGGCCTTGGAGGTTTTCTTGTGCAACCCCCTGCTCAGGCATGAAACTCTATATCATTTCATATACCATTAGGGCAACTTTAGTTTTGTTACTTGCCCTGCCAAATGTATAGTTTCTGGAGAAAATGCCACTAAAAGTCAGTTGAAAATGCTGTGTGAAAAAACTGTCTGCAAAAGTGATCTCAATATGCTTTAATTCTGAGCCATAACAGCAGATCCTCACTATAGTGGGCTTTGTTTCCAGAAAGCACAGCAGCCCACACACAAAGCTAAGGAATGCACCAACTGATAACTCAGTGAGCAATGCGTTTGTGTTTTGTGCAATCTTTAGGAAACTGGTTGCTGGTTTGTATGAATCAAGATTAAGACATAAATTAAGCATGTCTTCTCAAGCATCTCTGGGGGGGGGAGAGAGAGAGGGAGAGAGGGAGAGAGGGAGGGAGGGAGGGAGGGAGAGGGAGGGAGAGGGAGAGGGAGAGAGAGGGAGAGAGGGAGAGAGAGAGAGAGAGAGAGAGAATGGATATTTTTGTCAAATAAATTCAATGACCTGACTGAATTTTTGCAGCCAAGGTCAGTGGGGTGAGAAGGTCAAAAGCCTACCCTTCAATTATGATGACAGCAAGACTGATGGAGATACCAGTCTAATTTTTCTTCAGAAAATTGACCTAGTTGTCAAATCTTTCCTAAAGAGACACAAAAGCTTTGTGTGTTTCACTGTTTTTGTCAACTGAAAAAGAAGTGCAAAATGCAGCAATCAAACCAGAATAACAATGAAGCCTATCATACTGGATTCCAAATCCATTTTAAGATAATTCCTGTATTAAGCTAATTGAAAGGACACAAAAATAGGCATCTAGGCAAGATGCTTCAAAAGACAGGTTGGAGAATCGAAAGGAACTTTTTTTTTAAAGTGTTGATGAAATCAAATCATTAATTCTGCTTGGTTTAAGTTTAACTAGAAGATGGGAAGGCGCAGGAGTTGCTCTATCAAATGCGATAATTGTTAGGTTGAGCCAGCTAAATCCACAAAGCTGCTAGGATAAGGACAGAATAAAGAAGGACCGTTTCCCCAGTTCTGAAAATCAAAGTCAAACTGTCTTTGGCCCCATCTTTTAAGAATAGAACGGCTTGTCATATGTGAAAAAACAAAAAGCAGAACAATTCTCTTCTGGCAGACAATTATGGAAATAAATACTGACATAAGCATAAAACACATTTCCTCACTCTCATCAGCAGCATCAGTAGCACTGCTCCCAGTTGCTGCTTTGGTTCCAAGTGCTTGCTTCTCCTCCAACTGTAGTGCCTACTGGGTAGCCCTTATTCTGGCCATATGCCACTGCCTAATGAATGTTGCTGATGTGTGCGTATGTGTGTGTGTGTTCAGAAATGGAGAGAGAGAGAGAGAGAGAGAGAGAGAGAGAGAGAGAGAGAGAGAGAGAGAGAGAGAGGGAGGTGTGGCAGAAGAAAACTGCTCAAAGCTGGAGGCTGGAGACCGTGGTAAGGACAAAATAGAATGGGATCAATAGGTCAAGGAAGTTAAAAGTGCTTTGGGATATGTTTTCCATAAAATGAGAAGCGTGACCTATAAGTGTCAATCACATGAGCCTTGGGGAATAATCAGTAATGAAGAAACTGGGTCAGCTTCCATTTACATCTCATTCAAAAAGCTGTCATCATCAAGTTCAACACATAAGTTTGAGGAAGAAAAAAAAAATCAGGCCATGATCTGAAGGCACATGATATGGACTGTTCCTGAAATGAAGTATGTTTTGCGCTGGTCTAAACCTGAATAAGAACCCATTTGGATATTGATGGACCCATCCTTCAAGTTTAAAGAAGAAGAAAAAAATCTAATAAACAGGTGCTTTTCAAATGTAAAACAAGCCGAGAAGACTCTTACATAGTAGGTATTGTAACAAAGAGAAGTACTGTACAGGTAGTCCCAAAGGTGCTTTTTCAAAAGGCAACTGGACTTTGTTTTTCCTTGAAGACATTTCACTTCTCATCTGAGAAGCTTCTTCAGTTCTCCAGAAGTTCTTCCAGAACTGAAGAAGCTTCTTGGATAAAAAGCAAAACATCTTCAAGCAAAAACAAAATCCAGTTTGCCTTTTGAAAAAGCACCTTTGGGACATCCATGACCTGGATGACTTAGAATCTCCAAAGATAAATTTACAGTACAGGTATTTACAGTAAATGAAAATATCAATATGCCAAGCGGTGATGAATGTGCAAGAACTGTTCGTGCTATTGTGTTACCAAACTTCTAAAAATATTTCTCCCCAAAACCAGGAATGTATTTTACATTTTTTCTCTTTTTATAGCAGAATGGATTCTACTCAAATAATATGCAGAGCCATTCTTTTTGCTGATTTTCACATTCCCTTAAGTGTTTTGAAAATAGTGACAATATTTACATAAATTCATGACTCTTTCATATTGAAACATCCTGACTTCTAGCATGTGTGATCAACCATAGACAGAGCTCAGCCAGTACATGGCAGAGATTACAAGGTTAAACAAAAAACAAAAAAACTTGTGTTTTCAACATGAGATCTAGCTCTGGCAAGACAGTTTACATTTGACTGTCTCTATCTTGCAAAACTATTTTTTGCACCAGTAGATCCATAATTATCTACTACAGGGCTTGGAAGCTTAAAGAGTTCCTAAAATTCCATCCTAGAAGATGCATTTTTTTCCTGCTGCTTATTGGCTTCCAGAAAACATTCTTTCTATTAATGTCCTTCCTATGCATGCTTTCTGAATATTTAAGGAGCAGGATCAGAAAGGACGCAATAAGGAAAGAAAACAATGTCTTGAAATGTAAATTTCAACTGCAGGGCTACAGCAACTACAGAACGACTAATAGGGGCAATGTATATACTTTTCAAAATACATTACAGAGAGGAGAAAATACTGACCAAGATCTGTCTTGCTTTGGTGTCATTCTTTATTGTCATTTAGCTATACTGGTTTGAGGAAATTGAGATAGAGCAGGGGTCTTCAAAGTTGGCCCTTTTATGACTTGTGGACTTCAACTCCCAGAATTCTTCAGCCAGGCACGCTGGCTGAAGAATTCTGGGAGTTGAAGTCCACAAGTCATAAAAGGGCCAACTTTGAGGACCCCTGGAATAGAGGCTTCTTTTAAAGCCTCTCTTTCAAGCCCCTTTAAAAAACATCCATGTTAGAGGTCATCACTATTACTATTAATCAGCTTTAAAACATCTCCTCATTGGCTGCACTGGACAACCAAAGAGAAAAAAAAAATCTCCTTGGCAATATCCTTCATGTCATACCTGACTTCATACATGTGTTTTCTTAACTTTTCTTAACTTCAGGGTCCCAAATTCTCTAGCTGTTTCTCATGAGCCCCTTGAGCATTACTTGGTTGCCCTCTTCTGATTTTTCCCACCTTCATTGCATACTTTTTCAAACTTAGCAACCAGACACTCCACAGCCACAAATACACAGTGATCACATGCTGAGTCAACATCTTCACCATTTTGACTCCCACATCTTTTTTTTCACATTGGTTACAAACAGCTCGAATCCCTTTTGTGTACACATAACATTAGGAGATTTGCATCATTTTACCCCTCCTCAGAAATATCATTTGAAGCTAAAGAATCCTAAATGTTCTTTAGCTTTTCTCAGAAAACATGCCAAACATCCTCTGAATTTCCCAGCCAGCAAGAACCTTATTCAGAATTAGTGAGGATACACCACTGGGGAATTTACTATTTGATATACACATCTGGTTAAGACTCTGGGCAGTTCACCACAAATTTAAAAACTAAGATAAAGTGGTGCAATTGTGATATTGTCTTTACTGTTATTTTACATTTACATTGTGAGATGGCATGCCACATATATTTTCTAAATGAATAAATTCTTTAAGATTCTTTAGCAAATACATTTTCTGAATAAATAAATTCTCAGAGTTGGACTCATTCAATGGCTTGACCTAATACACACTGAAACAACCAGATCTTAGTGTCTTTTGGAAGGCCAATGGGGTTAAAAATATATGGATTTGGGGTGGGGGGTGGGGGGTATTAGTGGTGATGGCAGCTGCTGTGACAAAGAAGACCTGTGTCAATAGTCCGACTAGCAAACCCAACAAAGGCAATTACGTCCCAAAAGGTAAAACTTTATTGGATACACTATCTTGGAACTAAAGAAGCAAAACCAGCTCTGGGTTTTCCTGCATGAAAGCTTGGTTAGTTAAACAATAGATTCCTGTACCCCCACCCATCGGTTGTTCACATTGTCCAATAGTAATTCTTCCTTTTGTTATGGGAACAGTCCACTTCTCCATCGAGCACCTGCGGTAATGACCTTGGCATTTTGCAGGCTCTCATTGTCCATGAACAGCTTCCTGGCATTCCATTTCTTCCCTCCGCTTTCTAGCTCTCCCCCCTTTTCTATGGCAAGTTGATTAGCGATAGAAGGTAGCAGGCATCATAGTGATTCAATCTTGACAACCTGCTTCTCCTTGTCCCATCTGATGCCATGTCAATATTGTCAGATGTGGAGCAGGCAGAATTAACAGCAGACAGGCAGTCCCACTAATAAACCAGCCCTAGGACATACTGTTGATGACTTGCACGCTGATTTATACCTGGAAACCATAATGAAAGCTAATGGGTGTTGCATTCTGGACAAGTTGCAGATTCTGAAAAATCTTCCAGATCAGTCCCATGTGCACTGCAGTAATACAAACCAATGGTAACTAAAGCATGAATGACTGTGTGTAATGGCAGTGAAGAAGACCGTTGTTATCCTGGGAGAGTTTAGTGAGATATTTTGATTTCTCTTTTATATATATAAAGTATACATCAAAAGTCTAAAGGTTCAGAGCTTGTTCTGAGTTAGATGTCTATGGAGATTCTCTGTCATCCAGGTCATAGTTACCCCCAAGGTGCTTTTTCACAAGGCAACTGGACTTCCTTGTTTTTCTTGAGTTTTCGCTTCTCATCCAAGAGCTGAAGAAGCCTCTTGGATGAGAAACAAAATGTCAAGAAAAACAAGAAAGTCCAGTTGCCTTGTGAAAAAGCACCTTTGGGATGTTCTGAGTTAGCCTGCTTATTTTCTTTACTGTTGTTTACTGGATAAAAGAAGGGGGGGGGATGATCTTCTTATAACTTCAAAGCTTTCCTTGCTGTGAAATTCTCAGACTTTTGATTCCCATCCCAGAATCTTGTGCCAGCCGGTCAAGATCAGGTCTTACAGTCTCCTGACCACAGCAAGCCATGAAGTCATGGTGCCAGGTTTTGATTAAAACCTTGAGGTTGTTGTGGCTGTTTGTTAGGAACTTCTGCAAGGAATCTAGTGCTGGGTATATGGAAATTGACTGCCCTTGGGGTGCATCTCTGCTGTCATTATTAAGGAGTTCCTGACAGCTTGTAAGAGAGTTGGACATCATCTTGCTTGGTATGCATACTTCTTATGTGATGCTTTTAACTCTGTTTGCTTGAGCTAATAATAAAACTTAAAATCCCTTAATTTACTGTAATGTTCATTGTCTCTGGATTCAAAAGAACCAATTGCCTGAGCACCTGATCACTGCCCGTCACTTGGCAAATCATTGTGAAACGTAACTCCTGATCTAGAAGCAATTGGTACATAAGATCAATTAGTGCAAAGGCCCTTTGCATCATAGCTATCACTTGCTACTCAGGGAGATGAGAGAACCCCCAAATTATAAACTTGGTTTTGTCTGAGGGGGACCTGCCATCCTATCCAGAGCTAAAGATCAAAGATCTGTAGTACTAGGGAGGGGTGGAGAACCTTAAAACCTACAGCCAACCAATCTTTTTAGGATTGAATCTAAGCCTGTTTCTCCCTAGCCAGATCTCCAAGGCCTTCTATAAAGATTGTCATAGAAGATTTATAGTATAATATCCTCTTTGAAGTCCTCTTTGAAGACTAACACTGGGCACAATATTCCAAGTAGGTGATTGATTCAGTGGTATAAAAGCATGGATAATACTTGATATGTTTTTTTTTTTAACAATTCCTTTTCTATAAATAAATTTTCTAATCTCCCACATGGATTTGCCACATTCACAACAGTCAACATTCTTTGATAATATCCCAACAGCATTACAGTACTTTGAATTTAAGCACATTTTGCCTCAAGGCTTCCTGTATATCATCAAGAGGATGGCATATAACTGGAGTATTGGAAAGTGAGAAAATAAATCCCACTGTTTTGTTGAACATATTTGAGTTCAACAAAATAAGTTCATTGGGATGGCCTACAAAATATCTTGGTCAAGTCATTCCATTGAGGTGAGCCCTTATCTTCCATTCAAGGCTATATCTAAACTATCAAAAGCACTATAATGACCCCTATCTAACTCTTGTTAAGAGTTCACAGCCTTGACTGGCATAGCATTAACTTCATTCAAAAGATGAATCTTAGGGATTGCAACTATCTGAAAGGGATTCTCATCATTTGTCCCAGACATTTTCCATTAGTGCTAAAAATCAACTATTCAAAGTTCATTTTCTTTTTTTCTTTTCTGCATCACAGTTGCAGATACCACCTACATGCATACTTTTCCTTTTTGACAAAATAGCATTATTATACTGCCTGGCAAAATAATATTAATTTTTACCCTGCAAATAATTAGGGAGAAAAATTATAATTATCATACTGTGTACTGTGATGTGTAAATGTGCTTAAATTTGGCATAATCTCAGCAGAAAATGCTTTCCAAAGAGCAGGTCAGAAAACAAAGTCAAAGGCAGATGTATTTGAATCAAGCTAAAATCACAGCAATGGAGAAAGCACTTTGGTGAGACTGACACAACTCTCTTGTAGAACAAAGTCCCTACACTTTGATACAGAAACCTGTAGCCCCTAGCATCCACAAGACCATATTAGTTATGAAACTGTACTCAACCAACCATGTATTAGGGAGATATAGCAACAGTAGTACTATTCATAGTGTATGTTCACAGACAGCTGGAATCTTGAAACTCTGAAACTATGAATGATATCCAAAAATAATTATTATGACTCCCAGCAAGTTTCTTTTGAAGCCACCAATGTAAATATCTACTAAAAAAGCTGATTCAAATATGCAGTTGGAGAGGGAAAGTGGTTCAAATTTGCAATATTATCTTTGGAAACAACTGCAAATCTGATCTAATTTTCACAGTGATCAGACCTTGTCTTTTCATCCTGTAAGTGAGTTCTGAACAATAGACTGGTCGGGAACAACAGTAAGGATCTCATATTTGATATTCTAGCAATATTCCACAAAGAAAGGAAACAAAGAAGAATGGTCAAATTTAGCCTTCTGCCCAATAGAGTATTTTTAATGGTTAGGATGTTAGACAAGTTGAAGTCCCCACTTAACCACCAGTTACTCTCTCTCAGTCCAACCTACCTCATAGGCTTATATTAAAGTGAAAGAAGAAAAGTCAAGTCATAGCCTTAATTTCACAAGGGAAATAGAAATAAATTTCAAATCCTTGCCTTGAAAATGAAGGGAAAAGACTGGAACCAACTGAGAAAGTCTACAACAGACTCTGGAATTCAAAGCTGTATTCTATGAATACAGGCTAAATTCAGATTTACTGTAAGTAATCAGATTTTGTAGCTGGCTATTTGAAGAAGGACTACTTCAAGCAACTTCTATAAATTCCTCTACTCTTTCATATCTTTCATCTGCATTTAATGACTAGACTATTTTAATTTGGGTTTTTTTCCAGATTCTTGAAGAGCAATAAATGAACAGGATATCATTGTATAATTTATAAAGAGCGAGGAATGACTTGCATTGGGGAAAGTACTCAGCTGGTAAATTTTGAAATTTTGCTTAACAATTGCCACAGGGATTGTGGGGATTGCAGTTGCTAAGCCATGCACTCATCTGAAATCTTGCTTTATGGCCACATCACTTAGCGACCAAAAGTCCAGTAAGTCAAGGACTACCTGTAAGACAAAAGCAGGAAAGATTCTTTACATAATCAGATCTAGATTGTCTATTTTGTTTTTATGTAAAATTATGTAAATTTCTTATAACCACCCAACTCTAATGGACTCTGCACATAGAAATTAGGCTCCTTGGGCTAATGCAGGGGTCTTCAAACTTGGCCCTTTTATGACTTGTGGACTTCAACTCCCAGAATTCCTCAGCCAGGCACGCTGGCTGAGGAATTCTGGGAGTTGAAGTCCACAAGTCATAAAAGGGCCAAGTTTGAAGACCCCTGGGTTAATGATTCTGTTCCTTCCAATTACTAATAATACTGCAGCAACTGGTTTTTAAAAAGGGAACTATCTGAAATGTAGAAATGTTACATTTGTTCATATTGTGGTCTGCTGTACTAGGATGCCTATAATCCTCTGCACTCAGTAAAAGCAGACTGAAAACAAATGATTGTGTTTTCAGAGGTATAGGACCAACCTGTTTATTTTATTAGCATCTTATACAACTATATTTGCTCCACAATCACCATTTTGGAACTGATTTGGAATTCCTCTTTAAGTCATGAATGTGACACCCCACCTAATTTATGGACCTTGTCCTTCTTCCCTGGTCTGCATTCAGGGTAACAACTTGCCTGATGAACTTGAAAACATATAAATTCTTTTTGGGTAATTTTTGTTGGTCTATTTGGCTTGGATTGTTTTTGTTTTATTTTAAGCATGTAAAGTTTAATACCCATTGAAACATCTATTCTCTGATATTTTTATTGTGAGGTTTCATTAAGGCTCAGAGGGTAAACCAATTACTTATTGGATTAATCAGGCAAGATTGGACCAAGCTCAAACAAGGGAAAGAAATCTGATTTGTGGCAGGCAACATCAAGGGATTACAGATATTCCAAATCAACTTTTTTAGCTACAACTTACTCATTTAGAACAGTAGGAAGATATTTGCCTAATAGCAAGTTAAAGTTTTATGTTGGGATCTAGACTTTATCATATATGTAAGAGAAGATTGCCATTAAGCTGAGTTGATCCAAATAGTTAAAATGCTATTATATTTTGAGTCCAAGATAATAAGATTTATTAGTGAACAGATATTACAAAACACTTTTAATCAAATCTCTTACATCTATTCCAATTTTGACTCCAAGCTGACAGAAGATTCTATAGTGCTGGATGAGTATATACATTCTTTTATATGAAAAGTATGAGTATAAAAAAATGAGGATGTGCTTTTAAGAAGAGATTGGACAACCATTTGTCTGAAATGGTATAGAGTCTCCTGCTGGGATGGAGGCTTGGATTGGAGGATCTCCGGTCCTCCCTTCCAACTCTATTCTGTTCTGTTATTCTGTTATACTTTCTATGATCCTGTGTATCCATGTGATCAAGCCCCAGAAATGTCTGGAATGGTATAGGATCCCCTGCCATGGGCAGGGGGTTGAACTAGAAGGCCTCCAGGGTCCTCTCCAATACAATGTTCGATGTTATTTCTTATTTTTTTCCAGGATAACTGTTTGGTATGAGCCTTGGAAGAACTTCTTAGACCAGAGGTCTCCAACCTTTTTGGTCTATTGGGCCCGGAAATGGAGGCAGGCATCATTACGTGCATGTGGTGCACACAAATGGCCCCATGTGAGCTCATGCACACATGCAAATTGGGCTGCGTGAGTGCAAGTGCTGCAAATGGGGTGGGACTAGCATTGGCAAGATGCTCAGGGCCATGCTAGCACTGGTGGGGTGCTAGTGCCGGTGGGATGCTTTGGGTGGAGCTAGCGGGACACTCGGGATGGCTCTAGTGCTGGTGTGATGCTCGGGGGGGGGGCTAGCACCAGCGGGATGCTCAGGGCAGTGCTAATGCTGGTGGGATGCTCAGGCAATGTTAGCACTGGCGGGATGCTTGGGGTGGCACTAGTGCTGGTGGGATGTCGGAGCTGGCGCTAGTGCTGGCAGGATGCTCAGGGTGGTAGCAGTGCTGACGGGATGCTTGGGGTGGCACTAGTGCTGGTGAGATGCTCTGGGGGGTGGCACTAGTCCTGGCAGGATGCTCAAAGTGGCACTAGTGCTGGTGAGATGTTCGAGGCAGAGCGGTGCTAGTGCTGGCGGGATGCTTGGGGTGGTGCTAGTGGGAATGTGGGGAGTGAGTGCCTTCATGCAGCATGGTGGCCAAGAGGCCATGGCCCACAGGTTGGGGTCCCCTGTCCTAGACAATAGACTAACAAGTTGGAATTATGTTGTATCTGGTAGTAAAAGCTTTCACTTGGGCCATGATCCTGAGAACTCAGCATTAAAATTAACGCAACTCCATTGCTGAAAATAGCTTTGACTATGTCCTTCCTTCCATCTATGCAACTTTTCCAACCTAGCACCTTTTAGATGTGTTGGTTCCAGTCTCTGCCAATCCTGCATGTATAAATTCATAACAGAAGGTGACAGAAAACAGCCAATATGGATATCACAGCATAACAAAACATACAGTATATTCCTCATATTGGCCAGCTAGATTTCAGACAATGGAAGAGATCAGCATGGGAATAATATTGACTACCACTAGAATCCAAATAATTAAGCATAAAGCTCCTGCGTTCAAGATCAGCCCATATGAAGTCAAACCATGGATTCTTTCCTCAGCTGCATGAGTGATATAGAAGCAAATCACCACTATTTCATTTCCATTAATCATTTCCTGAAGGACCGACTTGTGTATGCAAAATACATGTTAGGAAGCAATAGAAGGGCTTGTTTTCTAATACAAAAAGGATCTTATCATAACAGGCAGGTAATCCCATAATACATAAATCACCTGTTTTTCTGATTTTCCTCCAGCTCGCCATGAGGGAGAGTGCTCTGGTTGCATGAGGCCTCCTTGTGCATAAGTTCACGCTGGAGAGCATCAAATTAATCTCTCCCTGCTTGAAGGTGACCTTCCCATCTCACCTTCTGCATTCTCCTTGAGTCGAATGCTTCCTACCTTGTGTGAGTAGCTGTAGGTTTCGAACTTCCTCTCTCACTTTCAGCTGGAGCACTTGCTGCAAAATGTGCTGACGTAAGCTCTCCTGAGCAATCCCCATTCGCTCAAGCTTTTTGTCGGTAAGCCTGAGCAGTGCGCGGCCTGGATCCGAAGGAAGAGACGAGAGGAAGAGGGATTACTCAAGCATTTCCATTTAATGAATAATAATAATAAAAGTTCTACATGCTGTCAATGCTCTCATTCTAGGAGACAAAACCTGCCTGCAGCGCAAATATTCTCTTGGAAACAATCTGATTCACAATGGGACAGATTGAGGGAATAGGTGGCCGTGAAATATATGTTGGCTCAGTGATTTAATTACATTCCACACTGGAGATCCAGGTTCCGAAGACAAAATCACTCATTGAGATTCCAGAACCTATACTTGTTATATAGGAAAGGAGCTATGCTTAATATGCTATAGTCAAAAGGGAGTTATGAGGACTGCACAATTGCTTAGGATGAGAACATATACCAATAGCAAGAGCGTTTAGACTTATATACTGATTCATAAAGCTTTACAGCCCTCTCTGAGTGGTTTATAGCAGGGGTCCCTAAACCTGGCCACTTTATGACTTGTGGACTTTAACTCCCAGAATTCCTCAGCCAACCATCAAGTGGCCAAGGTTGGGGACCTCTAGTTTACAGAATCAACAATCTGGGTCCTCATTTTACCAACTTGTGAAGGATGGAAGGCTGAGTCAACTTTGAGCTGGTCAGGATTGAACTGCTTGCAGTCAGCAGAGTTAGCCTGCAATACTGCATTTTAACCACTGCACCACCACAGCTCTGTTTAATATACTTAAGCTCTCAAGTTCAAGCCCTTAGGAGGAACATCTAGCAAGCAATGGGAGATGTCTTTGATGAATAGATAGGAAACCAATAGTACTGGCTGAGGATCATTTGTATAGCTCAGTGTAAAGTAGTTGCACTTATCTACAATATCTATTCTTCCAGTTTATTCAGATGTATCCCTCATAACAATGCCAAAGTAGAGTAACACAATCAATTAAACTATCAAAGGTATTTTAAAAAATAAAGTGCAACAGGAGAAAACAATCTTTAACACAAAACTTGCATATACAACAGGAATGTACTTGGGTGATGGGCTGATGGAAACATCAGTTAATAGGAACCAAGTTAATCTGGAACAATGTTCACAAAGGACTGTAAGCCCCAGCACTTCCTTGTCCTTACGTCCATCAAAAGAATGGCAATGTCTGTGGTGACATGGTGACCTCAGAATGCAATCTTTAACTGTCCTCAGGTCTTGGAAGAGTAATGCTGTATGGCCTTTTATCTAGTAATAGTAATAGTAGTAAAGTTGGAAGGGACCTTGGAGGTCATCTAGTCCAACCCCCTGCTCAGGCAGGAAACCCTACACCATTTCGGACAAATGGCTGTCCAGTTTCTTCTTCTTAAAAACTTCCAGTGTTGGAGCATTTACTGCTTCTGGAGGCAGGCTGTTCCACTGATTAATTGTTCTCACTGTCAGGAAGTTTCTCTGTAGTTCTAGGTTGCTTCTCTCCTTGATTAGTTTCCACCCGTTGCTTCTTGTCCTGCCTTTAGGTGCTTTGGGCTCTCATCTTTATTATTTTTTATAATTAACTCAAGGTGGCATATATTGGTCCAGGGTCATCCAACTGGCTTTGTGCCTAAGGTGGAACTAGAACTCACGATCTCCTGATTTCTAGCCCTGTCCCTTTACCAGTAGACTTTAGATAGCCATATTAGGAGAAATATTTCATTTTGGTATGGCTCCCCTTTATTAAATAGTAGCAATCCTAAAATCTAACCCTGAGGTAATTGTTCTTGTACTATTCATTGTATTTGAGTGATGTTGGGAGAACACTAGCTATCCAACACACTGAAGAAGAAAAGTTCAAGAAGAAAAAGGTAAATAAAAAATAAACATTTTAATTCTTGGAAGTGCTTCAGCAAATAATTTATTGTCCAGATGGGAACTATATTGATCCTTTACAAATCTTGGATATAAAAGACTGTTAAGACAGTTCTGTTTTTCAGCTCAATATATTCAGGAGGCCTTGATGATTTGAAGAGGAAGAAATAATCGTAACTCAAATTCCCGTCTGAAGTATAAATTCAAGCACAAATCATATTAAACTGCTTTGAAAATGCATTGTAAAATGTAAGACAGCCATTTTTAGAGCTTGCAGAAAGAACCTCAAAGACCCCCAAGGCAAATTAAATACAAATCTAAAACTTTGGCAGACTGACTTACACATTTACATTACTTATTCCTTGTACACTTATAAACCTATTTCTTAGATGCACTAACTGTTCAATAAATATGGATGTAAGTAAAGTCTTCTCTGAGGTAAGCTCAAGTCCTGGTAACTTCTGAATCTGGTCTAAAGTTCTTAGAGTTATCAGTGGCCTCCCATTCAAGTGTTAATGGTGCTTGACCTTCTTAGCGTCCAAACCCAACCAAGGTTAGCCAAGGTCAGCCAGCTGCTAAGGCTATGGATTGATTTTATTTTCAACTTGACAAACCAAGACCTGTTGGATCATCATTTCCTAGATAGTTTCTTACCTAAACAGAGAAACAAAATGACCAAGAGTAAAAAAAAGCAGTAAGAGTTCGAGTGAGTGTCAATGATTTAGAAGCTAATCAGCTTGTATAATGTGGGATGAATGATGCAATGTTAGGAATGACTCAGTAGGAGTCTGTATCCCTTTAAGAGCTTGAGAATAAAAGGGATTGGAGTTTGCTGAATTATCACATGTATGTATTTTGTTTCTAGTACATTTGTAGATATTGTAATATAAACCACCACTTAATACAAACCACTGTTTACTGTATTTACTCCTGGGTTACCTCAGCACAATAAGACTGTTCATGCCCCGACAGTGAGTTTTGATTTCCTGCCAGCTTGACCATGGCTGATTCCCCCCCACCTTTAGCAGATGATGGTGGGACCAGTCTACCTGGCTTCCAGAAAGCTAGAATGGGACCAGTCTACCAGATCTCAAGTGGTCAAAGACAGGGCTAGTCTACCAGGTCTCTGGAGGGCTATGCCAGGACTGGCCTGCTAAATCTTAGCAGCTGTGTGGAGGCACATCAGCACTGACTCAACTGTAAATTTGCTAAATTTCAACCCTACAGAAATCATGGATCCCAGATTTTGGATGCATTTTATAGGTTAGTCCAGGGGTTGGCCACCTTGACTCTTTTATGACTCGTGGACTTCAACTCCAGAATTCCTGAGCCAGCAGAGCCAAGGTTGCCTATCCCTGGCACATGATTCACTTAACAACTGTGGCAAAAAGATTATAAAATTGGGCATGATTCCCTTAACAACAGCCTTGCTTAGCCACAGACATTCTGGTCCAATTGTGGTCATAAGTCAAGGACTATCTACAAAGTATTCCTTTTATTTCTTTTTCAGTCCTGTTTTCCTTTTACCAATGGATACAGAAACCTTGAGCTACTAAACCCAAAACAGGATGTTTGGGAGCTGCTTAATGCTTTTGATTTCATCACCATCCACAATATTGTTGTATGAGTATTTCCACATATTTCCCCACAGGCATTCGGTAAAAATCAAAAGGGGTGGATGGCTGTCACCTAGAATTTTATCTGGAGGACTGCCCATCTGCCAAGAAAATACACAATATTATACTAGGAGTGATTAAGGAACACCTTGAGAATATAAAAGGAAGATAGGATTATAAATGTGTTCCCAGCCATGTCCATCACAAAAACATATATAGGTAAATAAGCAAACACCTTCTGGGATCATCCTTACAACATTTTCTCCAACCACTAAGTGCATTCACCATTCCCAAAAAGTTACCTACTATTGGAATAGCCCAATATTATCAACACTGAGGCACACATTATTTTCTTCCTTAGATTTTTCCCTATTGTTTTTTCTAAAGAAATGTTCTTGTGAAATCTTGCTTTGTCCTTTTCTAATATATTTTGCTGTATAATGCTCAGAAAAGAATGGTAGTATTCTTGTCCTGTAGAGGCAGGCAATAGCTTTACAATTTCTAATGCTGCTCTTGGATCTTTCTACATGAAGTTCATTGATATGATATATGTTTGGAGGGCAAAGAAAAAGCTATCATAGATGCTTCTTAATGTATTAGAAAGAGATCATGGCTTGCATGCAAAAATGCTTAGGACTGAACCTGAGTTCAAGTCCCAGCACTGCATGGAAAGATCTACCTTTGAAACACTGCAAAATCATTATCAGTCAGTGAGCTTGATGGACTGTTAAGATCTATTCTTATCTCCTATTCTCTATTGCCTGGAGAAGAAAAGGTCACTTTTCTTGTTTTCTGACTAGTAACAGAAAATTCTCCTGTCTGTCAGCCAAAAAATAGCAGCAATGTTTCAACAGAATGGAATTACCTCAGTGGGAGGCAGGATCACAGTTTTGATGGAGTCAACAAATTATAACTTGAGATTAACCAAGCCTCGTGCGATAGCAATCTGCAAAATTAATTCTACAAACCAATCCTTATGAAAATATTAGTTTACCTTCAGTTCTGAACAAACGTGCAGTGCTTCACAAACATACAGATCCTAAATCTTCTTCTTTTTTTTAACCAAATACTATTAAGAATGTCAAACTGAGGATGTTGTTAATATTTATAAGGTTAAATAATTGACGTTAATATAAATGGAAAATTAAAAGTGCACTATATATAAAGGAGAAAAGAATGCAGACAGTGAGCTATGCTGTTCAACCTATATCTCCTTAACTCTCTATAGAGATTCTATAGGAAGTTTATTGATTTAATAGCAGGATTATCTGATGGACCTTTTTCGTGATGAACCTTTCAGCCAAGTCTGAAAGATACCAGATTTAGGAATAGTGTGAAAGTTAAAGGATGATGTTTAGCTTTGAGGATCTGTGTGTCAGCTAATCTTGGTTGATGGGCAATGGCTACACAATTGCACAGGCTAGTATCATGTAAGTAAGCTACTCTTGTATTGCCATTTCATTGGCATATATATGGAAGATGTGATGCCACAGCTGGCAAACAGGTTTCAATCAGCCTGCAATTTTATTAAAAATATAAACTGTTTATTAAGTTTTCACAATTGTAAATACAAAGCCTTCAGCTCT